ATTAGGATCGCTTGTTTCCTGATTAATTACAATTAAGGAGAGATAGGAAATTATTTTCAACGGTGAATATTCAATATGTGAATTGATTTTCTTTGCATCAATGATCAGTTATAAGATTCCGATGGTGGATGTTGACAGAGACCAAGTTCGTCCTTTTGATTGAATTCGAATTAAATTGTTTTTGCTTTTACTGAAATTGTTTTCTGTTTTTACATAAACCCCCCAGCGTTTTTCACATCAAAGAAAATTCGGATAGACACTCTTCGTGGGATCGACCCTTGCTTATCCTATTTACAGTTCAGTAGTTAGGTTCGGAAGGTTTTAATTCTGGGTGCCTACGACAGCACGCCACACATCCCCATATTTTTTTCTTTCACACTATTTACGAGGGCTGTTTTTAAGCCAAGACGAGTTTTCGGCTAAACGAGCTCGACTCGTTAAGGGAGGAGGCGAGTTTGAGTTCGAGCCGAGCCAGATGAGTCGCTAATTTCTTGGCTTGGCTAGAACTCGTTTAGGGAGAAGAGATTTTGAGCTTAGCTCACAAGTTGGTTTAACGAGCCGAGTTTGAGCCGGCTCGTGAGTCAGCAAGTACATATACACAAGTGCAATACATCCACTTCGCATTAGAAATATATAAAAAACTAAACAAAGTTATGTCTCGAAGCCATCAAAATTGACCTAGATTCATCAGCCACATGCTGCATCTTCCATCCTAATCGTTTCATGTAGTGGCTTTCATTTAGATAAAAAAAAAAAATTAATAAAAGTTGGAATCAAAAGGCGTCGGCGATGAGATTAACGGCAAGAACAATGGGCAACACAAACACGAGCGTGACGGCGAGAGTAAGGCGACAACAACAATGACCAAATGACGATGACAACAGTGGGTGACGGTGATGACGACAACGTGGTGTTGGGCAATGACAACAGCATGGTGTTAGACGATGGCGACAGCCTAGTGGTTGATTGGGTTTCAGTGTTTCACGGCGAGAGTTGAAGGGGTAGATGGAGTCTGCGACGCCGACAACACTCTGGCGAATCAAATGGTATCAACGACGATGAGAAAGCACACCAGAGACGACTAGAAAAACAGTTGAAAATTGTATGGGTTTGGTTTTTTTTTAGCAAAGAGGTCATGTCGACGATTTTAGGGATTTTAAAATCGGGGGGGTTTTTTGTCATTTTTGAGAACTTTTTATATTTGAAATTTTATTTAATCCCCCATACTTCAAAAAACCCTAAAAAAACCCCCACTTATTCAAGCCAGGCTCTCTCTGATGAACCGAGCCAAGCCGGCTCGAAACCATATGAACCGAGCCGTTAACGAGCCAAACTCGAGCCGAGCCGTGAGCGGCTCGATTCGTTAACCAGCCCTACTCTTTACCAAAACAAAAGGAATTTTTTTTCCCTAAATTAGGCCTTAAATTGGCCTACGAATTGGGGCTTATAAAAACAGACCACATATGTTAAGGGTGTAAGCTAAGTCGAGTCGCTCAGGCTCGACTTAGTTGAAGCTTGAGCTTCATTTTATATTTCGAGTCGATCTCGAACAAGCCACCACACAGCTAGTGAGCATTAGGGAGCTTGAGTGTTTGTGTGATTTTTTTAAAACTATCAGGGGTCGAAATGTAATTTTATAGTTTTAAAATTGACAAATCCACCCAAACCCTAATTGTGTGAGAATCTATTTGAGGCTTTTGAAATTAGAAAAAAAAACCCAAAAAACTGAAAGTGTTCTGCGACAAGTCCACCCAAGACTCTTGACACTGCGCTGCCGATTTGCTCCTGTCGCCATCATCGCACGTGGCTTTCTCCGGTGTTGCCATCTTGTTCTCCGCTTGCCATTGGTTTTGCGGTGCGCCGTCTCGTGTCTGACTCTCTGCCTCATGTCGTCTCCTTTTGCTGTTGGCTTCGCCGTCGTTGTCTTGTCTGTGCTCAGGTTATATGTTTAATTGATTGTGAGTTTGTGACTTGTGAGGCTGTTTTTGTGACTTGCAATTGAATAAATCACGGAACATAAAAAATCTCATAAACTCTCTAGTCTCTAAGCAGAGAATTAATAAATGTTCAATTTTTGTTTTTCTATTTTCTCAACAATTTTTTATGTAAAAAGTTACTCATCTGAATTTTAGAAAATGCCTTCACAAGAGAGGTAGCATATCAATTTCGTTGCTCTTGTTGTGAAGTTGGCAGTAGGATCTATGAAAACATAAATATCTTCTCTTCTTCAAGAGAATTCAACTTTGGACAAAAGTACAGCGTTTCCGTGACTTCTTTTTTTTCGTAAAAGAGGGAAAGCAGACCACTGAAACCTGTTAGAATGCAAAAAAGACCAAATTTTAGCGAGCTCGAGTAGGCTATAACACCATTTTTAGAATCGAGTTCGATATTGACACTGTAGCAACCGAGCCGAGCTCGATAAGCCCAAAGATCGGCTCAGCTCAGCTAGATTACACTCCTGCCCAATTGCCAAATAAACTGCCGACTATGGGTTTCAACTTGCACGGTTCAGTCTATAATATTTAGGGTTTAGGTCTCTTTACTTGTCTTAATTCTCAAAACCAATGTTCTGAAACCCCGACCAAACCGGGCGGTCGAACCGGTTAGACCAGGTTTCAGTGGGTTGTAAAGGGTAAAAAACTGGGATTTTGAGTTAGCCCGTGTTAGACCGCGATTGGACCGTCTCACTGTAGCAAACCGACGGTCCAACCGGTATAACATCCAAAACCGATCCAACCTCCCATCCGGTCCACTAACAAATTGAAAACTATTTTAAATTTTTAATGAAAAGCAAACCCTAAATTCAAAGTGTCAAAAGAGTGAATGACTCAAACCCATTTTTATTTTTGCTTTTGCGGTTCAGCTGCGGCGCTGCTACTTTGCTGAGTTTTCTCTACCGTCTGCGTGCGATCTCCTTCAGCTTGGCCGTTGTCTAGTTTGTTTTTTCTTTTTCAGTTTGGCCCTCCTCCAGTTCAGTTGTTCTGCCATCTGCATGCGATCTCCTTCAGCTTGGCCCTCCTCCAATTTACTTTTTCTTTTTTAGTTTGGCCCTCCTCCAGTTCAGTTGCTCTGCCATCTGCATGCGATCTCCTTCAGCTTGGCCCTCCTCCAGTTTGCTTTTTCTTTTTCAGTTTGGCCCTCCTCCAGTTCAGTTGCTCTGCCGTCTGCGTGCAATCTCCTTCAGCTTGGCCTTCCTCCAGTTTGCTTTTTCTTTTTCAGTGTGGCCCTTCTCTAGTTCAGTTCGCAATCTCCTCCATTCGCGATCTCCTTCAACTTCAGCCTTCAAGTGTGAATTAGCGGTCAGACTGCTATTTCTTTGAATTCAATGGAATGCTTGCTAGTTGTAATATGCTACCATTTTGTAAATCTTTTGATTAGGATTCGTTCACCAGTGTGGATTCAAGGTTAGCTGCTTAAGTTTTTTTTGTTCTAAAACCAATGACTTTGCCCAAGAAAGTCTCCATATAAATTTTCCAGCTTAAAGCCTTATGGTTGCTCGAGATTGGTGAAATTGACATAGCATAGCCATTCCCTTTTTTCCCAAATATGAGAGATTCTATGAAGTGTTTTATTCTGAGGAGTTCTACAACAATGAAAGATGAATGCAAGAGAAAATTGTGTATTGATCTTCTTGTTTTGATGAAGTACTTGTCTTATTTTGGATGCAACTGTACCATTGCTGTGTATCGTTTATGTCAAAAAGAATAGTATTCCATGTTTCTAAGAAGTACATTAGATTTAGAAGGGAGGGAAGAATTCTCGGTTTTGGACTTTTGGAAATGGGCAGAACAGCAATACGATTTTCTTATTGTCATTATCTACATAGATATGTAGCTTTAACTCCTCTTAAGTTATAACCAAATGCAGTGGGATTTTCCAAGATGAATTTAAGAAATTCATCTTAGAAAATCTGAAATTTTACAAGTTTTTTTTGTTTCTGCTGACATCATCATGCTGACGTCGGTTGGACCGGTCCAATTGTGCAAACTGGGAACCGACCATTTTGGCGGGTTGACTCCCGGTCCGGTTTTTAGAACATTGCTTATCAGAATTAAAATTTATTTGAATATATTTTCTTTAATAAAATTTATTGTTTATTTTTTATTTTTCAACAAAAGTCATATCAGAATTAAAAATCAAACAAGTAACATTTAAAAATCTTTTGAGTTTCTTAATTTCTTAACACCTACGCGTCCTCACAGTCAAAGGGTAAAACAAAGACTAACGTCGTCGTTTCGTCATTCGTGTCATCAAGCTTGATCCACAAATTCAAAGCCAGAAGAGAAGAGCGAAGCGCCGAAGCCGCATTCTTTAAAGCTAAAAAACTCTTTCCTCTTTAGTGTGGATATTGATACTTGATAGAACGTGCCTTCTATCAACCGTACACGACGTGGCACCACGCGATTTTACTACTTTTACTCACACGCAAATCTAGAATACAATAATCCCAGGATATTTTTCCTCTCCTGCCAGACTTCATCCCATATAAGCTGCCTCAACATTGCTGCTTAGCCCTCGTCATCGGAGGAGACTCTTCGGTTCTCTACATTTTCTTTCCTCTTTTAAAGGCGATCGTCCTTCTCTCTTATTTTCCCCTAAAAAAGAATCCGAAAAAATGGTTAGTTTTTTCTTTTTCTTTTTCTTTTTTATTATTCCTAATTAGCTTTCAGTTTCTCTGCTATAATTTTGGTTAGTGTATTAGTCAAATCCAAGTGGATTGCTAGACTATTTTGAGTTGGTTATTGTTGGATCTGATTTTTAAACATATTTTGTATTATCAATTTTTTGTGATTTAATAAATTGGAGGGCAATAGCGAGCTTGAGTAGGCTACAGCACCATTTTTAGAATCGAGTTCGATATTGACACTGTAGCAACCGAGCCGAGCTCGATAAGCCCAAAGATCGGCTCGGCTCGATTCGGCTCGGCTCGATTACACTCCTGCCCAATTGCCAAATAAACCGCTGACTGTGGGTTTGAACTTGCGCGGTTCAGTCTATAATATTTAGGGTTTAGGTCTCTTTACTTGTCTCAATTCTCAAAACCCTAGCTTCCTGCAGCTTTTGTAGGTGTTTGCAGTTCGATTTTCTTATTCTTCGTATGCATAGTACTTCATCAATATTTTTCACACGAGTTCTCTAATTGGTTCTTCTTCTCACCTTCCAACTCCTATATATATATATAGTTGTTTTATCTCAGTTTTCATGATATCAAAAATTTTAAATTCTTTATGACTGAAATGCAGCATTACTGTTGGTAATATCTTGTAAATCATGGAGGGTTCTACTGATAACAACTTTGGCTACGATGAAAGAGTAAAGAAGTAAGTGTGCATATGTATATAACTGCTCTGTTTAATTCTTATTTATTGTTTATCAAAAAGCTAATTCTGTAACAGATTATTTGGTTTATTTGCTGCAATTCATGTATCGTTTTGATTTTTTGTTTCGTGTGTTTTTGTTTTAGAGAGGCGCCTCAGTTAGCGGCGTTGTTGAAAGAAATGAAAGAAGGATTAGATGCAGTGGGTAGTAAAGTGCAAGCTTTAATAACCAAGGTAAACATTGCTATCATCTCAATTTAAGTTATGATAGAGCTGTTGAAAGATCAAAATTTCATTCGAGGTAATATATATATATATATATATATATATTTTATGATGCTGATATTTTTTGTAATAGGTGAAAGAGAATAATTATCCAACAGCAGATGGACTTAGCTATCTTGAAGCTAAACATTTGCTGCTTCTAAACTATTGCCAGTCCATTGTTTACTATTTGCTGCGGAAGGCCAAAGGTTTATCGGTTGAGGGACATCCTGTTGTTCGGAGCCTTGTAGAAATTAGATTATTTTTAGAAAAGGTATGGAATTGTTTATGTTTTTCTGTATCAATCTGTCTTTCTGTGTTGTGACTTTTTATGAGATTGTTAATGTATCTTTTTGTTAACAGATACGCCCGATTGACAAGAAACTTCAGTACCAAATTCAGAAGCTTACAAGTGCCAGAATTTCTGGGAGTGCATTAGGGCAACTTAATTTAAGGGAAAAGGAATCTGATGAGCCGCAGAAGACTGAAGATCTATTAAGATATCGTCCTAACCCAGACATGCTTGTTAGCAAAATGGATATGGAAGATGAGGTGAGTCTGCATATGAGAAGAGTATCAGTCAAGGATTGAAATTGACAGGCTTCTGTTCTCTAAACTCATTTTATATATTGTAGGACGGTGACAGCTTGTATAAACCCCCAAAATTTGCCCCCACTTCTATGGATGAAGATAAGATGTCAAGAAAGGAAAGAAATGCTTTGCGAAAGGAGAAAGAGACACTACGACAAGCTAGGCAGAGCACTTATATGAAGGAATTGATGGATAATTTGGAGGGGAGACCTGAAGAGGTTGGTTTTAAATTGGTTTTTGTTGTGATACAGAATTGGATGACTTCTTGCATGGGTTCAGCTGATCTTTTTTATTAATGATGGAAATGCAGGTTAGAGAAACTGTTGGAACTGAGAGTCGAGAACTTACTAGATACAAGGAAAGGATGGAAGAGCGTGCACGGCTAGAAGAGGAGCTTTTCACTCGTGCTCCTCTTACAAAGATGGAGAAAAAGAAGATGAAACACTTGAAGAAGTCGAGAAATGGGTATGCAAAATTAAAAATACTTTAAAGGTTTCAGAGATTTCTGTAACATTTTGTGGTGGTTTATGATATCTTGCCTTAACCATTTGATCATTTGTCTGTTCCAGGTTGCTAGGTCTGACTGACAGTTTCTTTGATGAAATCAAAACTTTACCCATAGAGGATAATGGTGAGCAACCAACAAGCATGAATAATGGTGGAAGTGGAATGGGAAAATTAAAGAAGAGGAAGGTATATCATCTTGAACAGTCGCAATCTTTTCTCTTTGGTCTATCCACATTGCTTCCTGAGTAGTTGTTACATTTTATTTGCATAGTACTGATGGTGGTTTATTGTCTTGTGAGGTTACTAAAACCAACCTTAAGAAAGCTTGATCATTCACTATTATACAGATTGGATTGGATTAATCTTATGATAAATTTTTATTATGGCAAAAAGAGATTGGATTAGTCATCCTTGAGAAGGGACCATGGTTAAAGATGGGCAAGGTTCTTATGTATTTAAAAGTGAGCAGCCCTCTTTCTGTTCCAGCATACGAACACAGACTCATAAATGTTGACCACAAAATTGAATTTAATAGCTGGTTTAAAAAGGGAATTTCTTGTAATCATGAGAAACTTAAGGGGGATTTGTAATTTAAAATTTTTTCTTCATGTTCTTTATGCATCAACCAAGTACAGTGAGATGTCCTGGATTGTGTACTTGGGGTTTAACATTGTTGTCCCTTTTTGCAGAGAAATTGAAGATCTGAAAGACGAGAAAATCAAATCATTGGATGTGTAGATCAAACAGATTTAAAGCTGTAGAAAATCAAATCATGGTTTGAATTGTCTAACGGGGAAGTATTTTGAGAGTGTGATGCAATTTTGTAGACTTAGTGATACGTTGTTTTTACTTGGGTTACTTGAATGAAGACCTTCATTTTGCAATCAAATTCAAATGTTTAATTTCTCTCTGAATATTGCGGGTTGGAAATATAGATGTTTTATGTTATATATAATTGAGGTGATGTTATTTGGACATGTTCGTCATAGATTACCAAGGTATTACTTTTTTTAACTTTCAGTTGTTACAATATAATACCTGATTTTGGTGCAATTGTTAACACCATTACGTAAGGCTTATGTGCTCAATATCGAAACACTTTTTTACCTGTCACCTACCCCCATGCTGATTAATATGCCATTAGTAGCTGAAAAATATTATGCATCCTTCAATTTTCTGTTTTGAATAAATCATCTATAAAATTTTCTCTCCGTGTTTGGACTTTTGGACCACATCGGTAAAATTTCTTCACCAAATTTACAAAGCCAACTACGTAATTGAAATATAATAATAGTTAAGGTATTATAAAAGATACGACCATCTACATACCATGATACCATCAATGGTCCACTAATTTGTAAAAACTAAATTATAATTTCCATTACAAAAGAAAATGATATTTTCGTGGTAATTTGAAATAACACAGGATCTTGAGACCACTAAAGTCTTAGAATCGTTTAGATCTTGAACATATCAAAATTCAATGATACCCTCTGTTTTAAAACCCGGACCGGACGCGGTTCGACCGGGAGTCAGCCTTTACTTCGGTCGGGTTAACACAAAATCGAAAATATTAATAACTCGTTTTGGACCGTATATGGACCGATAGAACAACAAAAACACCGATCGATAGGCCCGGAGTTTAAAACGGTTCGTCTAATCCAAAAAAATTCATATTCCAATCCTAAACCAATTTCAGCACCGTTTCATTATCTTCTATTTTCATCTTCAATGCTTCTTCATAACACTTACACTAAAATACTGGCAAAGAAGGAGGAGGAAGGGGAGGGAAGAAGAAAGAGAAGAGGGACACGAGAAAGGTAAGGAGAAGATGAAGAAAGAAAAGAGGAGATGAAGAGAAAGAGAAAGAGAAGAAGAAGAAAAGAAAGAGAAGAAAGGGAAGAAGAAGTGACGGGGAGTGATGGGGAGGAGAGAGAGAAAAAAAAGGAGAGAGAATTGATGGGGAGTGATGGCGTGATGGGGAGAGAGAAAAAAAGTGAAAGATGTGAGTGATAAAGAGAGAGAGAAAATTAATTAATAATAAATTGAGGGTCTTTTGATTATTTAAACTTAGAGGGGTTTATAAACTTTTAAATATGTATTGCTGGGTTTTAAACTTATAATAATTAATAGAATTGTTTAAACTTAAAGTGGTACTGTTATATACCGGTTCCGACCGACCAGTTCAATCGGTGGACCGGTCAACCTGCAAATCGGCCTTTAACCGGGTCAACGAACGGTCCGACTTTTAAAACAATGTATATATCTCTAAAAAAAAAAAAAAAAAACGAATCTTACATTGAAGAATGGAAAACTTAGCGAGTTAGGAACTTTGCTTGACAGGTTGGGGCATGTTGTATATTGAGACCCAACAGAATCAAACTGCCGAAGAGGAAAAAGGGGCTCAAGCTCGCACCACGGGGAGGTATGGCAGTGAAGGGAAAGGACTAAATCGAAAGTGGCACTGCAAATTAAACAAAAGATCGTCACTAAAAAAGTGCAAAACCAAGGTACAGCACTTACATACATTCATGTATGATACACTATTGACAGAGTACCTGATAGCATCCAAAGAGCGAAGCAACAAAGCTGAGGAAATTTTCAGTAGACTGAGCACTGATATGTTAAAAGCCCGTTGTGTAGTAGTATATACGTAGTGGAATCAATGGAGCTCCATCACAGCCCGAACCAATTAACATAGTAATTATGAGCAGAGCACATAGAGAAGAGCGCCCTCATAATGCTTCAAGTTTGTCAAAAGATAAAAAAAAAATACTCTAAAACGTTTTAAAGGTATTTTATTCCACCAACAAATTCACAAGCATATGCATCAGAGGAGTAAATTTGTTTTATGTCAAGATAATGGCTACGCACTAATAGTAAATTTGGCAATGACAAAATTAATCCAATACTATCACTTTCCAGTCACTTATACAGTTTGCCTTTGACAGACTCCTCAAAATGAAAAGAAATGCTTCTGTTTCATCTAGTTCATTTCGTACTCAGTTCACATCAACATATATGATAACCCGTAACATATACATATTACCCATATATATAGAAACTTATCAACCAAAAAATAAGACATAATAGCTCGCCTGGTGATCTTTCCCATGTTTAGAAAGCAGCCAGCACCGCTTCTGAGATACGAGGGAAGTTCAGCACAACGGTTAGCCTTTTAAGTTTGACAGAGAGGTAAAAAGAAGAACAAAACAGCGCCTACAAGTTTGCAGAGATGATAAAACATACACAGAAAATGTCCGTATCAGTATAAGATACCTCAGGTTCACATCAAATGTACAGAACAAGGATAAAACGCAGAACATCAACTCTTGTAAGGAGAATGCTACTGAAATCCAGATCCAAAAGAATTGACAACAAATATGTAAGTGATTTTCCGCATGCATCCAGACTGAGTCAGAGAATTTCCAATAATATGCAGAAACAGCTTGTCAACCAAATCGATTACACGGCCATTTGATGTTTAAACAGGCAATAGTTAATAAGGCATACCTTTAGGCGCTTTTTGGCATCAACAAAAACAATTCCTGCTTAAAACAAGATTCAAGATTGTTATTTCCTTATACAGAGCATAAAACATGACCAGAGATTATTGTTGTGACCTTGATGATAGAAGCACCAGCTTGAAAGGCACATGATGCTATCATTATAGCTGGCCATACAAATTCGACTCCAGAGAGCATGACCAGCATTAGACCCACTGTAATCACAGAATACACAAATAACCATCATGGCCTCCCACAAAATTATATTCAAGGACTTTGATATTGTTGGAACAAAATAATTTAAAATATTTACGTATTAGCAAACCTGGAAACTGCCAAAACCTACACCAGTAGCCACAAGTAAGCAGCCAGCAATTTGGTTCAAAGAGTACTTTTTTCCCAAGAGAACAGCGACAGAACCAGCTGCCACACTAAAAATGTCTGCCGAAAAAAAAAAAAAAAATCTTGAGGGGCAAAAACCGTTTAAAACCCAGACGTTAAGGAGGTTTACTCCTTCTTGAGTTCTGGTTCAACATGGGTCATCTACCACAATAACATTGTGACTTACCTAATACTTGAACTTGTAGGTGTTAATGGATAGGGATTATTGGGGCGCACAAGCTGACTCGGATCTCCGGTTACCCAAAAAAAAAAACATTGTTTGCATTTTCTAGTATTAACTGAGCAATGACATAAGCTTTTATATTATTTTACAATAAAAAAATGAAGAAAGAGAAAGAAAAAAATTGTCTTCCTCAGCAGTTTCCAAGTTATTGCTTCATCAAGATAAATCCTCAACATAGGTTTGACAATGACTTTAAGGTTGCAGAACATATTGAGTAAGCGGTTGATACAAAAGCGGTTGATACAAAATCTTAACTCAGGATTAGTAATAGTATTCAAGATCTACCACAGAAATCTAAGACAGTGAGAACTAAAAGCTCTACTAATGTTCACCTACAACAGACAACAAGGGCAATTAAGAACAACATCAAGAGTAGTGCGTCAACCGTGAACTTTTCTTTTTGGTGTCTAACAGATTAAAATTTTATTATCGCGTATCATATGATACAACAATTTGTGAAAAGCAAGTAGGTATATGCACATACTTTTGAAACTGAAAAGCAGCTCTACTGCTAGTCTGCTACCACTCCAAATTCAAAAATTTACAAACAGAAACCTCCAACTTCTTTGTCAATAAAAGACCTTACAACAATAGAAAACAAGCTTGGTTTCTTATTTTTGCTATGAAACATACCTGATTCAATATAGGTATAGCCGGCCCAGGAAGCATTGCTGTAGAAGATACATAATATTATATTATTCCAATATAAAGCCCACAAACAAACACCTAAAGGCTAAATCATTACTATTACCTGCAGAAGCCATTCCGCTAGCGACTCCAAGAGCCCCCAGAATACCAATCGCCATAAACCGAGATTTGGGAACACCAATCATTCCATCGCTCACGATTCCCATCCGGTACCGTGTATACAATATTGAAAAATAAATCACCACGTACCTGTAATCGATATTTTTTACACAAAAATAAACATTACTGTTACGTCCATTACTTACTAAATGTAACATCAATCAATAGAAAAGACTTACCCGAAAGTGGTGAGTTGGGCTAAGAAGAAAGGGTACTGTTTCATGGGAACGAGAGCCAGCTTGTAGAGCACGCGATTGGCAACTGCTAGCGCCACCGTAACAACAGAGCTAATTATGATGAGTTGACGGTTAGGTGATGATGGTGAAGGTGATTGTGGTGTGTTGTTGGTTGACGCGCGGACTGTAAGATTAGAGTTTCTAGGTGAGTTGCGTATAATATTGGTGTTTTTGTGGGTGAGATTAAAATTGTTAATGGAAGGTGCCCTTGAAGGGAGATGATGAGAGTATCTGTGAAGAGACATTGAGATGAGAGAATGAGAGTTTGATCCATTGAGGTTGTACTTGTAGCTATGGAGATGCAGGAGTGGATGTTGGGATGAAATGGCATGAAACGATGACGTAATGGGAAATCCCATGACCATGAGAGACGAAACGAGAGGAAGAAATACGAGCAGAGGCGGACTGTCGTGCAGGACAAACCGTCAAATTTGGAGCCAATAATTCTGTTTGACAATTTTAGGGGTAAAGAATATCCTACGCCGGTTTAATCCTGCACCCTTCCATATTCAGACGTCAATAATACATTGGGTCATTTTTTTTTTAAATATGGGGATATTTTAAATAGTAAACGACGTAACGTTTTCACCCCTGGTTTTATAGATTGTAATTCTCACCCTTAAATTAACAGAAAATTGTTTAATCTAACAGTTAAAAGAGTAAAATAGTCATTTCAAAGATGAAATTTTCAAAATAACTCTTCACTTCTCAAATTTATCTCATCAAAAAATTTCAAAATGACCTTTCACTTCTCAAATTCACCCCATTGGGTGATTTCAGGCCATTTTGGCCTGTTTCTGGCGTAATCAACCCCTCCCAATACCATCATTACAATTCCCTCAATCTCCACATCAAAACCCCTAACCTCCCTGCCTGATTGAACCCCCCAATCATCGACCGGTGCTTTTAGTTTCAGTCGGCGTTTCTTCCAAATTCTAATAGCTCCCGGCACTAGAAACCACCACCAATAGCATCACCAGCTTCCCCCCACCAAAACCCCCAATATCGCCAATCGTAATTGCCTACTGATTGTCGTCGCCTCTCCCTTAGGTTTTCGCGTTTTGTAGCTCCTTTCCAACCAAATTCTGGCACCTTGTTGAGGTGCAATCGGGTGGAAAAAAGTTAGGATTTTGGTGAGGAGCAATGTTCTGAAACTCGGATCAGACGGTCGGTTTCGTTAATAATTCTAGTTCATTAAGAGTGAAAAACCGATATTTTCATTTAAACTGTTTTTTACCGTCATTGGATCGGAGGAATAGTGTCAGACAACCGGTCCAACCAAATTAGATGAAAATCCGGTCCAATATATGTGACTGTTTTAAAAGGCAAAATCCTTGCCTTTTTTGCTTCAGCCTTCGTTTCTTTAATTTTCATTTGTTTTTTCGTCTTTTTCCGACTTCCAATCCAACTTTGTTCATATGCTCTTACACCTTCATTCATCTTTAGTTAGATTCGAGCTTAGAAAGTGAAAAAAAAAAAAAAAAAAGGAGAAATATCTGAAAAGCAGAAGAAGAATAAAGAGAAGAGGACAAAAAAAATAAGATGAAGAAGAAGATCTGAAAGATGCTGAAGAAGAAAGAGAAGAGGAGGTGAGAAAAGAGAAAGAGAATATGAAAGTAGTAAAGAAGAAAGAGAAGCGAGAAAGAGAGGGAAAAAAAAAGACGAAGTAGAGAAGAAGAAAGGAAATATGAGGTGACGGGTGAGAAGAAGAAAGGGAAGATAAGGTGACATTTTGAAAATATATAATATAAAGAAGAAAGAGAGGACGAAGAGAAAGAGAGAGAAAAAAAATGGAGAAAAGAGAAAGAGAAGATGAAATGACATATGAGGAAATATGTATATATTTATGACATCATCAGTTTGACCACCAGTTGGACCTCCCATATCGAAAACTGGTCACTGAGTCATTTTTCGGTCCGGGTTTTGGAACATTGATAAGGAGGGTAAGGGAATGCTAACGGTGGTATCGGAATGAGGCCAGATTTTTTGTCTGGCTGGATCCGCTGGAATCTCCTCTAAGGGTGGGAATTGTAATTTATGAAACTAGGGGTGGGAACAAGATTCGCCAAACCTTGGGTGGGAAAATATTGTTTACTCTATTTTAAATAATTCGTTTGAGGTCCTTAGTTATGTGATAATTTTTAAAAATTAAATTTGTAAATTTTCATAATTACCCTTATAAATCAAGTAGCTATTTTCATAATCGTGTGTTAAAAGTCAATTTACACTAAGATACTCAGGAGTAACTTTTAGATACATACGAATTTAAATTTGTAATTTAAACTTTTATTGCAGAATTTTAATCTATTGTAAGGAGGAAAAGAAGTTAGAAATGGTTAATTATTATATCAATTCATTATTTCTAAAATTATTTGAATCAAATTGAAAAAGAAAAATTCAGTTATAAATTGAGATTGAAATTATATTCTAGAGTAAATGACTTTTTCCCACCAATGGTTTGCTTTAATAACACTTTTCCCCTGAAAAAGTTTCAAAATACCACTTTCCCAACCAACGTTTATATTTCGTTAATTCACAAAATTTGCTTAATCAGTCGACGTTCAGCAAGTTACTAGGAGCCAGAGTAAGAAAGTTTTTGTAGAGTAGAGATCGGTAGATCGAATGGTTGTGACTGATTGAATATTTGTCGGTGAAATTAGTCGAAAATCAGTTAAGAACTGAAAACCTTAGCTTTATAGTGGCCGACAATTGATGAGAAATCAAGTATCGGAGTGAGAGATATTTTATAGAGAAGAGACCAAAGGTTCAAATGATAGTAACAAGAAGAGTTTTTACTGTCGAAATTGGCTTTGAGTGGTAATGGAATATTTACTTTGGGTGAAAAAAAGATATTTTAAAACTTTTTGAATAAAAAAATGTCATTAAGGCAAACCTTAGGTGGGAAAAAATCATTTACTCTTATATTGTACTATTATAATTAGATTATATATAAACATGATTTGTTTTACATATTACACTTATAACCTAATTTCATAAACTTTTCTTTTACAATCTCGACATGATAATTTATAATTAGTCAGTTCATAAATGAGTCTCACCTGTCCGTTATGGATGGTGACCTAATCTTTATTGTTTATTTTAATATAATTTTTAAAGTAATGGTATATCTATAATTCAATGTGACAACCCTTATGTGACAATTTATCATTAGTTAATTTGAAAAATAAGTCCTGTCTATTTGTATATATCTTACTACTTATTACAAACTAACCAATTATAAATGGTTACAAATTGTTGGAATGAAGGTCTAATATTATTGTAATTTGTACTTTAGAAACCGATTTAGAAGTAACTATTAGATACGTGGACACGTCTATTTGTATAGATCTTACTGCATATTACATACTAACTAATTACAAATAGCTACAAATGGTCGAAACGAAGGTCTAACATTATTGTAATTTGTATTTTAGAAACCGATTTAGAAGCAGCTATTAGATACGTGGACACAGATCAACTCACAAGAGAAAACTTGTAGCTCAAGCCAGACAGTCTCCCCGCCGCGTATAAATAACGGTTCGTAAATCCCTTCTCTCTCGTGTACCATTCATTACCCCAAGCTCTGCATATTCTTTCCATTCAAGTTTTTTGCATCTCTAACCGACTATCAACAATGCCTCGCCGAAGCGCCGGAGGTGAGTGTTGCTCTCGATTTTCTCCTCCCCTGTCCTCGACTTTTCGTTTCAATTTCGTGTTTATTTATCTTTTTCAATGCTTTTATTTACTGATCTTCATGGAGTTTAATTAAGTTGGATATGATTTCTTTTATGCCACGAGTTTTATTTGAGTGTTCCTACCTTTGTTTATGTTTTTAATCGATGAGATGTTTGTTATTTAATTGTTCAGTTTATGTGCTGGATAGATATGATGGTTATTAGTTGTTTACTTTTAGAAGTTTGTACAACCAGTTCGGTTGCTGGGAACTGGTCCTTACAGGTCTCTGTTTATGGTCCTTTTTTTGTCAATTTTTTTTTTCATGATGTATTAAGGGATTCATTAAAATCCCCATTTTGATGTCATCAAAGCTGCTAAGAGTTTATTAACATTTGTTTCGAGATATGATTTAAACCTGGGATTGGAGAATTTCGTCTTTGTGTAAGGGGGTTTTAAAATTATAATTGATTGGGGGCAAAATCCAAATTGGCTGCTTTAATACTATTGCGTTTGGTTTGTTTGTTGTGTTACCTTGTATTACTAGTGTATCTTTGAAAAGCTTTATGGACCAAGTTGTTGGATAATCAATAATTCGTAGTTTTGTTGACGTGTGAAATTGAGGAGCAAACCTGATCTACACTGTGTGTATTGAGTTATGATTGTTTTTCAGTCAGTGTTAAGTATAACACTAGGCATCTCATCTTTGCAGGAAGGTCTGCTTCTCGTTTCCGAGGTGTTGCCCGTGCACCAGTGCATAATTCTTCTCAGCCAGGTAAGATATTTATGTGATCTGGTATTTGAGACTTATGTTCATTTATGAGGTGTATTAACATGTTTTCATTGTCAAAAAAAGTGATTCGAGTGATTCATGCTACTTTCAGTGTTGTTTATTATTGCATTTTTCTGAACTGATTGTTGAATGGATTGGTTATTGTAGCTGCTCGTGCTCCTCCACCAGCACCAATGCAAAGCGGGAATGGATCCATTGGGGGAGGTTTTGGCGCTGCTGTTGCAGATGGTGAGTTCAGGAGTCTTTGTTGTATAATGAACAAACTCATACAACTGGCTCATATAACCTAACAATGGATTGTTTTTTTCTTTTTTGTTAACAGGTCTGGCCTTTGGTACTGGCACTGCGGTAGCTCACAGGGCTGTTGATGCTATGATGGGCCCACGTGTCATCCATACTGAAACCGTTTCTTCATCTGCCCCTGCAGCTGCACCAGCACCAGCACCAGCACCAGCACCAGCACCAACATCAGCACCTAACACCGGCAGTCTTGGACGTGCTAATGCTTGTGGTGGTCAATTCAAGGCTCTGCAAGATGTATGAATCTTTCCTTCTTTCCTCCTTTCTAATTTGTGGATTGGCTTAATTTAGGTTTTGGCTAGCATTATTTCTTATTAAGATTTTTTTTTTTTTTTGGCCATGTTTTGCTTTCTGGTTTGTGCTTGGTGTTTGTTAAATTTTGTATAGTTCTAAACTTTGGATCGCTTGCCCCAACAAATCAAAGTTATGGACCTTACCAACTCTGGTTTTATAAGATAGCAACATACGCCCATTATAAACCAGAACTCTTGTTATTTTCATTCAGACTTCTTAAGGTTTCAAGATGTTTCTAATCTATATTTATTGGATCTCTGAGTGATCCGATTACGATCATCTGTCTCCTAGTTCATGTCTAGGTATAGTTCCACTGGATATCCTATTTCAGAAATTAGTGATTCTTTATCTTGATTCCTGAAAATGACAAGTCAATAACTGTGTGATGCGATACTTTTTTAATGTTTTTGGTATTGTTATGGTTGTATCTTGCTTTACAATGAATGATGTTCTTTTGTCTCGCTGCAGTGCCTGAACAATTATGGAAGTGATATCAGTAAGTGCCAGTTCTACATGGATATGTTGCAAGAATGTCGCTGGAGCTCTGGAGCTGCCTTGGGTGTTTGATATTTATTATGAATTAAGATTAGTTCTATTGCCTTAATGATATTAGGAAGAAATTCTAGAAATGAGAGACTTCAAAATTTTATAGAGGAATTTACTGTCGTAGCTAAATGTTTTGAACTTAAATAAACTTCTAATGCCAATAATTTTTGGATGAGTTGACATAGTTTTGAATCTTTCACTTCTTGATATTTGTGTGATAGTTGTATATGAGATGAAATAACAATTACTTGCTGGTTTTAATACAAGAAAGAGATCATGCGATCTAAGTGGGTGGTTGATATGCTTCATTGTTGCTGGGTTGCAAGGACAGTCCATTACTTTTAATATTGCATATGACTAACACAGACGTGAAATAGTACCCTTTTAGAGAGAGTTTATGTGTGAAATTCTGTATTTTGAGTGATTGACTTTGATCATTTACATGATGGATTTGGATCAATCAATTTCAATATTATTAGGCTATGTATAAATTGAGGGATCAGAATATTTGTATTATACGTGCAATATTATGGGTGAGTAGTAATAACCAGTGTTTTGAAACCGGATCGGACGGTTCAACCGGGTTTCGTCAATAATTCCGGTTTATTAAGTTAAAAACCGATATTTTCATTTAAACCGTTTATGACGGTTATTAGACCGTTAGAATAATATCAGACCGCCGGTTCAACAGCATCGGATGAAAATCTGTCCAACAAATGTGATTGTTCATTGTTTTAAAAGGCAAAATCCATGCTTTTTTTCTTCAGCCTTCGTTTCTTTAATCTTTCATTTGTTTCTTCGTCTTTCTTCGGCTTCCAATCCAACTTCATTCATCTTCTCTTCCACCTTTATTCATCTTTAGTTAGATTTGAGCTTAGAAAGTGAAAGAAAAGAAAGATAACGGAGAAGATCTGAAGAAGCAAAAGAAGAAAGAGAAGAGAACGGAGAGAAAGAGAGAAAAAAAAAAAAATGTAAAAGAAGACCTGAAGATGCAGAAGAAGAAAGAGAAGAGGAGGTGAGAAAAGAGAGAATATGAAAAAAGTGAAGAAGAAAGAGAACAGACGCGAGAAAGAGAGGGGGAAAAAAAAATGAAGTAGAGAAGAAGAAAGAGAAGATGATGTGACGTACCGACATGTGAGAAATATAAAGAAGAAAGAGAGGAAAAACAAATATAAAGGAAAAAGAAGAGAGAGAAGATGAAATGACATGTGAGTATATATATATATATATATATATTTTTTTTTTTTTATGACATCACCTGTTTGATTCGTCGGTCGGACCGTCCAGACTGAAAACCGATCACTTGACCAAGTCATCTTCTGGTTCGAGTTTTAGAACATTGGTAATAACTAATAAAACATAACGTTTAGTTATCAAATGGGATTGATATGTCATAGATTTTGTCTCACTAAATGTTTTTACATGAAATTAAACGGAAGGTTTTTTTTTTTTTTTTTTTTCTCAATAATACATTAATGTTTGTCAGAGGGGGAATATGTTGTCTCAATGAAGATTTTCTTGTAAAACAACTCAGGACTTCCATGAAAAGAACCCCAAAATCATATCAAAAAATGACGAAGTAGAGAAGAAGAAAGGAAAGATAGTGACGGTGAGAAGAAGAAAGAGAAGATGAGGTGACATTTTGAAAATATATAATAAAGAAGAAAAGAGGACGGAGAGAAAGAGAGAGGAAAAAAAATGAGGAGAAAAGAATAAGAGAAGATGAAATGACATGTGAGGAAATATGTATATATTTGATGACATCACCTTTCTGACCACCTGTTGGACCGCCTATATTTAAACTGGTCACTGATTGAGTCACTTTTTGGTTCGGGTTTTGGAACATTGATGAAGGGATAAGGAATGCTAATGGTGGTGTCGAATAGGCCGGATTTTTTTGTCTGGCTGGGATCTCCTATGGGTGGGAATTGTAATTTATGAAAACTAGGGGTGGGAACGAGATTCGACACTTGAGTGGGAAAATATTTACTCTATTTTAAATAATTCGTTTGAGGTCCTTAGTTATGTGATATTTTTAAAATTTTTTGTAAATTTTCATAATTACCCTTATAAATCAAGTAGCTATTTTCATAATCGTGTGTTAAAAGTCAATTTACACTGAGATTCGAGAGTAACTTTTAGATACATACGAATTTAAATTTGTAATTTAAACTTTTTGCAGAATTTTAATTCTATTGTAACAGGAAAAGAAGTTAGAAATGGTTAATTATTATATCAATTCAATTTCTAAAATTATTTGAATCAAATTGAAAAAGAAAAATTCAGTTATAAATTGAGATTGAAATTATATTATAGAGTAAATGACTTTTTCCCCACCATGGTTTGCTTTAATAACACTTTTCCACTGAAAAAGTTTCAAAATACCACTTTCCAACCAACGTTATATTTGTTAATACACAAAATAACTTACTTTACAGCCGACGTTCGTAAGTTACTAGGAGCCAGAGTAAAGTTTTTGTAGAGTGGAGATCGGTAGATCGAATGGTGGTGACGGATTGAATATTTGTCGTTGAAATTAGTTGAAAATCAGTTAAGAACTGAAAACCTTACTTTAGGTGGCCGACAATTGATGAGAAATCAAGTATCAGTGAGAGAGATTTTATAGAGAGGAGACCGAAGGTTCAAATGATGGTAACGGGGAGAGTTTTCGCTGTTAAATTGGCTTTGAGTGGTAATGGAATATTTACTTTGGTGAAAAAAGATATTTTGAAACTTTTTGAATAAAAAGTGTCATTAAGGCAAACCTTAGGTGGGAAAAGTCGTTACTCTTATATTGTACTATTATAATTAGATTATATATAAACTGATTTGTTTTTGGGTCATATTACCTTATAGCCTAATTTCATAAACTTTTTTTTACAATCTCGACAGGATAATTTATAATTAGTCAGTTCATAAATGAGTCTCACATGTCGCTATGGTTGGTGACCTAATCTTTATTGTTTATTTTAATATAATTTTAAAGTAATGGTGGATCTACAATTTATCTGACAACCCTTATGTGACAATTTGTTTATTAGTCATTTAAAAGTAAATTCTGTCTATTTGTATAGGTCTTTGTCTTACTACTATTTGCAAACTAACCAATTACAGATTGTTATAAATTGTCGGAACGAAGGTCTAACATTATTGTAATTTGTATTTTAGAAACCGATTTAGAAGCAGCTATTAGATACGTGGACACAGATCAACTACAAGAGAAAACTTGTAGCTCAAGCTAGACAGTCTCCCCACCGCGTATAAATAACGGTTCATAGATCCCTTCTCTCTCGTGTACCATTCATTACCCCAAGCTCTGCATATTCTTTGCATTCAAGTTTTTTGCATCTCTGACCTATCAACAATGCCTCGCCGAAGCGCCGGAGGTGAGTGTTGCTCCTATTTTCTCCTCCCCTGTCCTCGACTTTTCGTTTCAATTTCGTGTTTATTTATCTTTTAAATGCTTTTATTTACTGATCTTCTGGGTTTAATTAAGTTGGATATGATTTCTTTTATGCCACGAGTTTTATTTGAGTGTTCCTACCTTTGTTTATGTTTTTAATCGATGAGATGTTTGTTATTTAATTGTTCAGTTTATTGTCTGGTAGATATGATGGTTATTAGTTGTTTTTTTAGAAGTTTGTACAACCAGTTCGGTTGCTGGGAACTGGTCCTTACGTCTCTGTTTATGGTCCTTTTTTTGTCAATTTTTTTTCTTGATGTATTAAGGGATTCATTAAAATCCCCGTTTGATGTCATCAAAGCTGCTAAGAGTTTATTAACATTTGTTTCGAGATTGTATTAACCTGGGATTGGAGAATTTCGTCTTTGTGTAAGGGGGTTTTAAAATTATAATTGATTGGGGGCAAAATCCAAATTGGCTGCTTTAATACTATTGCTTTTGGTTTTTTTGTTGTGTTACCTTGTATTACTAGTGATCTTTGAAAAGCTTTATGGACCAAGTTGTTGGATAATCAATAATCGTAGTTTTGTTGACGTGTGAAATTGAGGAGCAAACCGTATCTACACTGTGTTATTAGTTATGATTGTTTTTCAGTCATGTGTAAAGTATAACACTAGGCACTCATCTTTGCAGGAAGGCCTGCTTCTCGTTTCCGAGGTGTTGCCCGTGCACCAGTGCATAATGCTCCTCAGCCAAGTAAGATATTTATGTGATCTGTATTTGAGACTTATGTTCATTTATGAGGTGTATTAACATGTTTTCATTGTCAAAAAAAGTGATTCGAGTGATTCATGCTACTTTCAGTGTTGTTTATTATTGCTTTTTTCTGAACTGATGGTTGAATGGATTGGTTATGTAGCCGCTCGTGCTCCTCCACCAGCACCAATGCAAAGCGAATGGATCCATTGGGGGAAGGATGGTGAAGGTGAAGGTGATTGTGGTGTGTTGTTGGTTGACGCGCGGACTGTAAGATTAGAGTTTCTAGGTGAGTTGCGTATAATATTGGTGTTTTTGTGGGTGAGATTAAAATTGTTAATGGAAGGTGACCTTGAAGGGAGATGATGAGAGTATCTGTGAAGAGACATTGAGATGAGAGAATGAGAGTTTGATCCGTTGAGGTTGTACTTGTAGCTATGGAGATGCAGGAGTGGATGTTGGGATGAAACGGCATGAAACGATGACGTAATGGGAAATCCCATGACCATGAGAGACGAAACGAGAGGAAGAAATACGAGCAGAGGCGGACTGTCGTGCAGGACAAACCGTAAAATTTGGAGCCAATAATTCTGTTTGACAATTTTAGGTGTAAAGAATATCCTACGCCGGTTTAATCCTGCACCCTTCCATATTCAGACGTCAATAATACATGGGGCCATTTTTTTTACGTCAATAATACATGGGGCCATTTTTTTTTCTTTTAAATATGGGGATATTTTAAATAGTAAACGACATTTTCCCCACCAAAGGTTTGGCGAATCTTAACGTTTTCACGTTTCATAAATTGTGATTCCCACCTTTAAATTAACAGCAAATTGTTTAATTTAACAATTAAAAAAATAAAATAATCATTTTAAAGATAAAACTTTTAAAATAACCCTTTACTTTTCAAATTTATCTCACCAACAAATTTTGAAATGATCTTTCACTTTTCAAATTCACTCTGAAATCTTTATCTCACCAACAAATTTTGAAATGATCTTTCACTTTTCAAA